TTTATGACATGCAGTGAGACATTAAATCAATGATAAATAACTTAGTGCCCTATTATTAGAAGAAAATAAACACTAAATGGTCAAAATGCTGTCAGGTGGTGAAAGTGTTGGAGACGAATTTCCATTTTTTTCTGACTTTGTTTGCTTTTTCCCTTTTTGGAAGGACAGGATGATTCACATTTAGTGTCAGCTAAAGGCATGAAATAAGCAGTACATCTGTTAGATTCAGCTTCTCTCTCTCTATCTGCACGTTTATTTCATCTGTGTGTGTGTGATCAGTGTGTCCTCTACATCTTTATGACAGAAAAGAAGTTGTGAGGTCTTCCTGTCTATTTGGCAACACCTGGAAGATGCTGAACATTATTACCACAAGATCAAATATATGTTTACAATTTGTATATTTTTTAAATCTTATACATATCCATATCATAAATCTACTAAGTTCCTGTTTATTTTGTTTTCTCATTATATTAGCCATTAATGGGGTTTTTTGTTTGTGGCATTATGGCTGAGATTATAGAACGACTTGAAACTAATTTGTCATATTGGACTACATGAATAAAACTGAATCGACAGTTCTGGGGCTAGAATGAGTTGAATCAATTTTAAAGGTTTGCTGAGGACATTCTCTAAACTAATGTGGTGAATTGCTTCTCCAATAAATACAAGAGCATTGGAGGAACAAAGTTGGTTTGGCAAGTTGCATATATACTTTTCACATACTTCTAATGTTGATTTAAAAACCTCAATTGGGGGTTAAGGTACATTTTTGTCTACCCTCCTATTTTAATCGAGGTGTCACTTACTCTTAAAATATTTTTTTTTAATCTACAAATTTACTTTACAACGGGGGACTGTCAAAGTCAAAAGCATAGACTGTATAAAAGATGAATGTAGCAACCGGCCCTGAAAAATGAAGCCAACCTGGAAGTGTCAAAAACCTGCAATATCACTACGTCCACTAGTCGTAGCTCCAAAAAGCCCTGGCTCCCATAGAATGAATTGGAAAAGAAGTGATCACAGATCACGAAATACCGCATTCCTACAGCTCAGGATTTTTTTTTAAATTAGTTTTCAAGTCCAGAGATCAGGTGGCCAACCTGAAAATAAATCAATACTGAATTTTTAAAAAATCGTCAAAATTTTGTGGGGCAAGGGGCGTGGCTGGCTTGATTGACAGTCGGCAGCGACAATACAGACGAAGCGAGCAGAAGACGGTAAATGTGGGCAGGCAGAGGGCCCACCTCTCAATCCGTCTGACCAATCGCTGCTCCTATGGCTCCGCCCCCCTCCAACGATTTTTGCGTCACTGGCTCCAAAAATCCAACATGTCAACCAGGAAGTAGCAAAACCCTGGCTTCATTTTCTCAGTGCAGAAACCAACGGGTTTAAATATGTTTTACTTTTGTAATAAAGAAGACTATGTGGTCTAATTTGGGCTTCTTTTGAATAGTTTTCACATTCTCACAGTGCTTACTTCTACTCATTTTTGATGTGAACAAAAATTTAATATCGGTAATATCTGTTATCAGCGATATCCGAGATCTTAATATTGGTATTGGCCAGAAATTTCAATATCGAGCATCACTGGTTTCAGTATCATTGCCAGAATCATCTTCTATCTACTGACCGTGTTTACAGCCTCCTTTATTTAAACTAGCGTACACGTGCTCTGTGCTAAGATGCCTTTTGTTTACATCAGTTGGTGTTTTTGGCTCAATGATGCNAGTAGCAAAACCCTGGCTTCATTTTCTCAGTGCAGAAACCAACGGGTGACGTCACGGTAGCTACGTCCATCTTTTATACAGTCTATGGTCAAAAGAGGTCTATGTATTTTGCCAAAAAACAGCTTGCATTAAGTTGATATTCTTTAATGAAGGCTGGCTACTTAAAATAAATGTTTTCAATTAGGGATGCACGATATATCGGCAACCACATCGGTATCGGCTGATATTAGTGTTTTTTTTCCAATATATCGGTCCAATGAACAAATTTAGCCGATGTGAAAAACCGATGATTGTCTAACATCAGCGCCTTCGTCTCTACATTTGATATTGCTGCTATTTCACAGATGTTTTTACTTAAATGGTTCTGGACTTGAACGTTATGTTAAAATATGTTTAAATATGTTTTACTTTTGTAATAAAGAAGACTATGTGGTCTAATTTGGGCTTCTTTTGAATCGTTTTCATGTTCTCACAGTGCTTACTTCTACTCATTTTTGATGTGAACAAAAATTTAACATCGACAACGGTAATATCTGTTATCAGCGATATCAGAGATCCTAATATTGGTATACTGGTTTCAGTATCATTACCAGAATTATCTTCTGTCTACTGACCTTCACACTGCTAAATCTGTGTTTACAGCCTCCTTTATTTAAACTAGTGTACACGTGCTCTGTGCTAAGATGCCTTTTGTTTACATCAGTTGGTGTTTTAGGCTCAATGATGCGTCATTCAGATGAGTCAGCACTAGACCTCCTATGATGTGTTTATGTGACAGCCGGGATGGGGTTGTGGGTGCTCCGGGTCTCCTCCTCTGGTCTCCAGGGTAGCGGAGTGAGGCGAACGTACACAGAATCATTACGACGGCTTATTCGTCGTCGGTCGGAAAGGGGTCAAAAGGTCACAACAACTGCAAGTGTGTGTGTGTGGTTGCAGGTAATCACCTCCACTCCATGGCTGTGTCGCATTCCTCAGCGGTTAAATGTGGGGCAGCGGGTCGATTGCATCGGATGATCTTTGCAGACCCGGAGCAGCAGCAGTATTTTCATGAATTGATTTCTTTCAGGAGTCATAATGGCATCAGGGGAAGGGCAACAGAGGGAGAAATGATTTAAACAGGTCATTAAAACCCACACATAGCTCGTGTTTGTCCAAATGTGACCTCTCTTGTTTTGAGCTCTACTTTTTTTTTTTGCATTCATCACAGCCCAAATGTTCACTATTACTCCCACTATTATCCAGAAAACATTTTGTTGCCGCCTTTTTGTTCCAGTTGAACCTTCTGTCACACTGAGTCGATGCGTCTTCCTCGTCATCAGTATTCAATGATACAGCCCAGGACCTCCAGGGGATGTGTGAGCCTCAGTTCTGCTAATATGTAGCCAACCTTAGGATGTTCCTTTCAACCACGGTATGGATTTTTATCTTCTGAACAGTTCAAAAACAAGGCAAGAATGCAGCTGCAGCTACTGGAAGCAGAAGTCACTGATCTTGGTCTGCTTAATTGCCACATTCTCTTTAACGAATTTTGATTCTACTTTTCAGCCAAAAAGAAAACGAAAAAAAGAACTGATAAAACACTTATTGTGAGTCAACATCATGAGTTAAGACATAATGTTATGTCAGGAAATATATGAAACTTAAAATGACAATAAAGAAAATTATGAGGCAGTTGTTTTTCTTTTTGCATTATTAAAGTGTCTTTTACTATAGATTATACTTAGTTTTTGCCAAATAACAAAAATACAGCAACAATAAAATGCCCTTAACTTTCAAGGCCTCCATGGCACTGGTGACAAAAACAAATATGAGACAATAATTGTCATTTAATTGCACTACTTGGAAGAAATAAATATATATGTATCTTCAGGTGTGTCTTAAAACACATCCACAAATGTGCCTCCAATTAACTCAAATGTTGTCATTAACCTATCAAAAGCTTCCAAAGCTATGACATCATCATATGGGCTTTCCCAAATCGTTTAAAGGCACAGTAACCTTACTGCATGTAAACTTCTGACTTTGAAGAAAGTAAAAAATTTCTAAAAAATTCTCTCTCTCATTACTCTGGCTTTTAGCAAATATAAATAATTTTGGTAAACCTAACTGACCTAAAACAGGAAAGGCTTCGTCTGATTTCATGTCAAACAGTGAGAAAAAAAAACGTTACATGTCATTTTATACAGTGTGTGTGAACTTCTGGTTTTAACTGTATATATTTCAGATACAGGCAATTGCAATTAAATGTTATTTCCTTGAAACCCAAGAAGCTTTTTTTTCATAGAACCTAAAATACTTTGGGGTATATTGCACATTTACATTATAAATAGGAATTTCTATGCAGAAAGAATACCTGAAAACATACAAAAACATAATAATTGTGTGCCAACAATATAGTGAAGCGTGACAGCAACGTGACAAGAGAAGCCTGTAGGTGTAATTGCACCTCCTTAGGGGGATAAATTGTTAGTTTGTTCATGTATAAAAATTGAAAAAAAGGTATACAATTTAGGAAAACTCTATTTCATTTTTAGATTTCAGGATCCCCAGGTAAGTATCATGAAAATTCTAATTCAGCTGCTGGACATGTGTGTTCTCAAAATATTAAACTGTTTTTTTGTCCGACCTTTTGTGGGTTCATGGTGTGTGAATACAAATGTAATAGAGATTAAAGTTAAACTGTGTCGCATAAAAGTTGTAACAGTTTTCCTTTTTTTAAAAAAAATTTGTCCTGGTACAAATGGACATCCATATGACGCTGCTAGAGTTGGCAAAATGCTTTTGTATAACTTGGGTAAAACAAACTTTTAAGCTTCATAGTCACTTTGCAAATGAATGGCTTCCAATGGCAGAAATAGATCATCCAGATATCATTAAATGTTGAGACTTTGATAAAGTTCTGCCACAAAATTCGCCAAATGTTCTTTCTTTGTATGCATGCAAAGTTAAGCGGATATAAACTCTGTCTTTCTTGTAGCAATGGTCTGATTATTGTCTGTCACATAAACAAGCTCTTCTCGTTGCCCCTCTGCAGTCCCTGGGAGGGCCTTACTGTCTTTGACATTTGAGCCACGGGGTTAGAGAGACGCTGTAGTTTGCACGGCCCATCTAGAGAGGACGACATGCAGCTCACCTCTCCGCTCCTGCCAACAAATAATTCATACCGCTAACATTTACTTTGTTCAAACGCCTTTATCTGCCGCCCTGTCTGCGAACCTTAGAGTACATGTCTCAGGTGAATGAAATGTCTAAGTGAGACACGGAAGGAAATACTGCCTGTACACAGAAGCTTTTAAGGCATTTACGGAGGGAAGGGAAAAGTTGAGAAACACTTGAGTGCTGTACGGAAAGAAAAATCCAACACAGAGTTGATAATATATACAAAGACGGAGCTTGAAATCCACTTAACTCACTCTGGAACAATTTCTGAACTTTCTCAAAGCCAACTTTCTAAAGAAAAGGTGAAACCTTAAGCTGCACCAGAATCTTTATTCACACAGAAGAAAGAGGGCACTGTGAAACTGTGATGTAATGTTGCACCAATAAAACCCTACTTGGGCCTGAACTTCTTCCTCTGAGTCTGCAGGGCTGGAGGTGTTTCACAGCAGTTGGTGGACATTTACTTAATCCAAAAATAAAAATGAAAGAAAAAACCCAGGAAATGAAAAAGATAAAAATGAATTAGAATAAATGAATTAATAAAAGTCATTGTTTCTCATCTTCTTTGGAGGTCTGGTTGAAGGTCTAAGCTCATCTGGTCCATGAGCGAAGGCACAGTTTATGGTCTGCAGTGGGCAGCCCTGAGGATGGTGCGTGTGAAACCAGCAAAGACGAGTTTTTAGAGCGCCGGGAGCAACGGGTTTCCGTTTGGTGTCCACTCTGGCAGACTTCTCGTCCCGCCAGTCCCTTATGTAGACTCTCCCTCCCTCCACTGAAAAAGCAACGGGGAGATCTTTAAAAATAAAATACTCAAAATAAACCGCTCAAACTTCATCTTTTTTCTACAGAGCTGGTATTAAGGATGTGTAGGCTTCTAGAAGGTAGGAGTCCAGTCTGTTTTCTGCATACCAAAGAGAAGACAATAATAGCCAGGTGGCGGTTTGAGTATGCTGAGGCTCTCCTGGCTGAATCATCAGTGCAGAAGATGAGCAACAACATATCTTATTCTTTCTAAGTGGATGAGTGTGAAGAGAAACTACAGGAGCTGATGTGAGACTGGGGTCGCAACACATTGTAAGGATGCCTGGCTGGACTTGAGCAAAAGATGCCACTACCAACCCTCATTTAAAAAATAAAAAATAAAAAAAAAGTTCCGAGGTGTGAATCTATCCCAATAAAATTTCACCTCAACATTTAGAGAAAATCTTGTTTTCACTGACCTCAAGACGTTGCTGCTCTGATGACCATTACACCACTGCTGGGTGTGGTTGCAAAGCGGCACACTTCCAAGCCAGCTGTCTGGGATGAACCAGGCTTGAAACTTTCGACCAATAGGGCAGCAGAACTCAGCTTTGCATCATAGTTTGAAGTTACTCTTTAAGATAAAAAGTCAACTACAGTATGGCGCATTCTAGGAAACCACTTGTTCAGGTTGTTTTGGAAACTTTTCTCACCATTCTGTAGCTGATGAAGCATACAAGTGCTTTCCTGGGTTGATGTTGCTTTTGTCTTTAACTTCAGAAAAGAAGTATGAATATGCTGCCCATGTATGGTTTCTACTACTTTTTCTCCACTGCACTTGAGACTCATGACGAACCAAACTGATGAAAAATTGTGATTTCTCAAAGACCAAAGCTGTGTACTCTCACAATATAGCACCCTAGAAAGCTCACTGTTTGGTGAGGATAGACAGCTGTTGATACCCTACTTGGATGCAACACTGCCACATAGGGCGTCGAATATTCAGAATTCTCTCTGTTGCATAAAGAAACACCAGAACACGTGCATCACATTTGAGGCCATGGAAACTCTACCGTACCAATCTGTACATGTAAGTCTGTTTAGAACATACTTTGGCTGAACGGTATCCACCTACACAAGCATGATATGGACTGCAGCTTTAAATATGCCATTATAGACTAATCCTCATTATATTAACTGTGAAATAGGATTACTCATGCAAAGCAGAATACATTAACATTTAGTCTAGGTAAATTATACAAGAAACTTTTTGATAAAAAGTTTAGTATTTAACCATTTTTTTACCAAAAATGTTCTATTCTAGTTTATGGTCATAAGTGTAATAGTGAAAATAGACGTCAATGTATTGTATATGAGTGACAGCTATTTCATGTGATCTGCGTTTGACAAAATAAAAGTACCTCTAAAGACTTGGTGGTTGTTCTTCAGGAGGGTCTGAAGGCCTCCGCACTCTTTCTTCAGGAGCTGCAAAGTTTCCTGCTCCAAGAGCTCAGCGATCTCACTCACGGAAAGGCTGCCTGAAGACGAGGAAGGAGAGGATGAAATATAAGATCTATCAGTGCAACAGTCATCAATATATTAGTGCACTGTTTCAGGCATCCGCCATTTCAGACTAAAAAAAGAAAGCATCTAATACAGCCTACTGGCTTGAGTCAATGCTACCAGCTGTTTAGAGAGAAGCAGAGCAACAGCCTCTGTCTGAAAAGTGAAAATCTTCCAGGAGAGAAAAAGGTAATCGATGCAATATTACAGGCCGTGTAGGGAGAGAGAGGTGGAAAAACACCTCAGTTACTATCTTTCTGTCAGGGCTTTGAAGTGTACTCAATTTAAGCCGCTCCAGCAAGCTGTCAGAGCAACCAGCGTGCATTTCACCGCTGCTTCTCCCAGCGGCTATTCGAGAGCGTGAGTCATTGTTGTCACTCCCCCACTGGGAAAGAAAATTTAGATACCAAAGAGCAAAAAAAAAAAAAAAGAAAGAGGGCTATTGAAATACACAAATTCTATTTGAGTTTAGCAGATAGTGGTCAGAAAAAAAAAAAGCATGTATGCATTCATGTTCACGGTGCTCCAACGTTTCATGAGATTTGCTTTGCCCTCCCCCCCATCAGAAGATAATTTCATCAGGGCTGACCTTTGTTTTACACAAATGACAATCTTCCTCCTCATCTCGCTGACATATCGGTGACGTACGCACCACATAATCTCTAATGCTCTTTTGTGCTGCTTCAGAACAGCGTTTGACCCGAATCTACAGACGTCTTATGGCCTTCTTCATCATACGTCTGCACCCAATCTGTGTTGGCAATCCCCGTTGGCTTCGATTAATCATAAAAGAATTCCACAGTGAAGTCCCTGTCCGTGCCTCTGATCCAAAATCAGCTGGTCAAAGAAATAGTTTCGGTTTTGCAGCTGATTTTCAAACTACGGTGGCTTTTAAAAACTTGTTTTTCTGACACTGAAAGAAACATATTGTCCATCCAAGTGGATCCTAATTTTAGTTGGTCAAGTCGCTGAGTTAATCCTCGAAATATGCAACACACTCCCACATTCACAGACACTAGCAGAGCCAAACGCAGCCCTGTGCTTGGAGAGTGTGAAACTGGGCAGACTTGTCGTTCTGCAGCTCAGACGCCAGGGAGCTCAGTGGCCTTAATATAATATCAATACAGCATTTAGAGCTGCCCTTTACTGCCTGCGATGTTAATGGGGATTAATGGAGGAAAGACGGTATTGACGGAGCAGATTTTGATTGGGCCAGGTGCAGATGGTTATTAATGGCCATGCTTGATGTACAGTCGGACTTGTTTAAGGTTTAATGTCCCCTGTGAAAAAAAAAAGACGGCCAGCGATCGATCGCTTGTTGTGGGGGAACTGTTTTTGCTGCTTAAGCCAAATCAGGATCAGGCTAAGTGCAGGAAAATTAGCTCTGAAACTGGTGAGCGGTAGATGGAAGAACTTTCCACCTTACCAAGAGCTCAGCTGTAATACATGATGGTGTTATTTATAGTCTATGAAAACATGAAAACATGACAGGGCGAGTTTTGTTTTATTATATAAACCCTTAACCCGGCAAGGGACAAGAGACCACAACTGCCAACGACCTTCAATGTGCAAAAGGTCAACACGGTGAAGAACCATGAGCACAAGGAACCAGGTGCAATATGAGTGACGATATAAATACCTGAAGAAAAAACTAACTAAACAAAAATGCAACGAAACAAATGAACCAGGCACTAGAGGAACAAACTGAACTCAACTCCAATTAAAAAAAAAAATTACAGTAAAGTAAAGACCAGACAACACACCCCAACAGAAGATAAACCCAACAAACTAAAAAAAAAAACAAAACAAATCCAGACAAAAGATACACGGCACCACGCCACAACATAACATAAGAAAAAAAAAAAAAAAGATTAAACTAAAAATTAAATAAAAAACGAAAACATAAAAAAAACAAAAACGTAAAGGAAATGCTTCCCTCAACAAACACTGCAACTAACCCGGCTAAGAAAAAAAAGAAAAAAGAAACCAACCAACAAAAAAAAGTCATGCAAGCTACATCCACCTCCCGCACACAAAAAAAACAAAAAAGCCGCAGTCTCAAAAGTCAAAAGCCAAAAAACTAAGAAGTAACACACCACACAAGTCCCCAGTCCATCGTCCGGCGCAACGCCAAATGCCACTCGAGGAAAACGCAAAAAACTCGTAGAAATCCATAAATTAGCCACATCATTGTTTAAGCCACAGTGTTCAAAGCGTGTGACAAAAGTATCTGCCTGCAGTCCGGAATTTCCCGTAATAACTTTGATTAATCTTGTCACAAAAGTAAAAACATCTCGAGATGTCCTTCATTAACACCCTGGGGCTGAAATGTTCATTTTCCAAGTACTTCAAGGAGTGCCCTGAAAAGGGTTAAGGGGTTGTTTTTTTTGTTTTGTTTTAGTGTGCATTATGATACTTACGCAACTAAGTGTAAATGAAACTAATTTAATTGCACATGAATAAAAAGTTGACCACAAAAAAAAAATGTGAAAATATTCTACTAATTTCTACGTACCTGCAAGCTCTCATGAGACGTCACAAGATAAGAGATAAAAGTTTTACGAAACACAAAATTTGTTTCCTTTTTCTGGTGAAATAGTGGATTTTTGTCTTTTCGGGTCATATGTGATGGACAGGACCACTAAATGTAAACTAAAAAATCTGCATCTTAGACCAAAACAAACCAGCCAGATGCCCCACCCCCCCTTTACGTTTCACCTATGATCAGAAAGACTGCGTACACAAGAGCCAACAAAAAATATTACAGCCACAAGCATTTGCCCACACTAGCATTATAAAGTACACTGAATGGCCAGAATAAGTCAACTTGTGTAACATTGTCGTCACACGTGCCTGTTTCCCTCTTCAGCCGACCGATATGTAGAAGCAGACACACACAGAGCAGAGCATGACAAGAAAAGCAGAGGAGAGCAAAACAGCGCTCTCACAGAGACTCTCAGCTAACTTGTCTTGAACAGCCAGACCATTTTGCAGCACAGAATGGTCATTCTGCAAACATGGACAGTGTAGTTCTTCTAAGCAAATGCAAAATCATACTTGACAGAGCTAAGCCAAGGATTCAGCGACAGTATTACATCAAAACAGGGATGGGAGGAACTGTTTTGCTTTAACATTTGCATGCAGGGAGGTAACGCTGGCATTAGGAGGGATGCTGTCATTAAAATGACTAATTCACGGAAAAAAAAAACAAGCACAGCTGCCTTCCTGCATGATCCAAAACCTTTGGAAAAACTTGAGCATTAGGTTTCAAGATCTCATTGTCGTAGAAAATGAGATCTTGAAGACGCACGAACACAGACAGCAGAGCAGGAGGAGACAGATGCGTGTAATGTGCAGCCAATGGAAGGCTTACACCCGCAATCTGCACACTGTCACACTGCTCTCGATCTGTTCAGGGAGTGCAACGGGGGCCAGCATTTTCAAAGGAAGGGACTTGCAGATACTAACATGCACACATGGCCAAACAATACACATAGAGTAAGGAGGATTCAATTTGCTGCTCTGCCATTACGCCACCATACTTTATCTTTTAGAACATTTTGCACTTTTATAAACTATTAAAGCAAAACACGTCTTCTGCTCACTGCTCAAAAATGCACGCTTGGCAATACAGAATCGAGTTAAAAAGTTGCCAACAGCACGCACTCCCACTCATAATAATAACAATCACAGACAGTTGAACCGCAACCCTACAACGCTTTATCTTCTGTAGCGCCATGAGGGGGCCAACTCAGGGTGAAGGCAGGGGACACCCTGGACAGGTCGCCAGTCCATCACAGGGCAACACAGAGACAGACAGTCAAGAATTCACACCTACAACCAGTTTAGAATCAGCAATTAACCTCAGTATGTCTTTGGATTGTGGGAGGAAGCCGGAGCACCCAGTGAAAACCCATGCAGGCACAGGGAGAACATGAAACCACATCAAAAGAGACCCCAGGGCAAGATCGGAAGCAAGGACCTTTGAGCTGTGTGATGACCACACTAGCCACTGTACCACCCAATCACAGTAATGATTACACTCATACCTGTTCCTATGCAGGGCTGCCACTTTTTATTATCACCAAATTTTTAATCTTTATAAAAATGGGATTGGACCATAAAATGTGATAAAATTCTGAAAAATTTCAGCTTGGCTTCTTCAAACTAACAATCTGAAACCTTAACTATTAATATCAAAGAACACTCATGAGGCAGCTAATATTCAAGTTTAAAGCACAACTCACTGCTGCATTTTCTGGAGGATTGTGGGCGAAAACAACCAAAAAGCGTGATGATAACGATGGGAAACGTTGACTTACTAATGACATGCTGTACCTGCTTTCACCCACTACCTCCTTTATGCAAGCTGTTGAGTACAACAGTGAATCTTGGTGTATTTCCCTGTACCTCTGAGATCTGACTGAGTTGACGTTTAACACTGCAGAATGAAACGCATGTTCCATGTACAGCTGCACACATATCTCCTTTGCCAGCATGATTACTAAACTGCGTGAGCTCAGTCAGCGGTACAGCATGCATGAATTAGCGACTTGCCTTAAAGTTGCAGTAGCCAACTCAACACGTCAGCTGACTGAAACACGAGTGAGAGTAATTTTTACTTTTATGCAACCTTAAATGCTGTGTGGTACGGAATAGGTATCACGCAACAGGGCTGGGTGTCAGATTAAGAATGTTTGATATTGTTTCCAATACTTAA